AATTTCTAGTTGAACCTCATGTTTGCCCGGTTATCATGGAAGATTCTGTTTATTCATGGCGGAGCTCAATGAGATTCGGTCTGTACGACATAACACGTTGTCTACATGAAGTCTCTGTTTTACTGCTTTCTTGCAGTTAAATGATCTGAATATGTTTCTGTGAATGAGTGCTACCACTTCCATTAGGCCGCCACTTTGTTTTCACTCTTCAGCACAAACTAGTGCAGCTTTCAGCAACCAACCTTTAACAAGGTTGGTCTGGCAAGCCCACATCGGCATTTATCGCAGTGAGCACTTTTTTTGTGGATATGTAATCTACACGGAGACTCTGTCTTAGCTTTTTCTTTTTGCAGTGTTACGATGTCTAATTAAACACCCTATGACTGTTGGGTAATAAGGGTAGAACATTCGACCCCAGGTGGGAGCTGAACTCGCGCTTCACACTTACAAGCGCAACCACTGAACCTCCAAGGCCATCTCTTTGCTACCACTCATCAGATTGGTTGCTAATATCTCCCATAATTTATACTAGAGACAGAGTGGCAGCAAAGCGAAGGCTTTGATGATGTAGTGGTGACATGGGCCCGAGGTCATGGATGAAGAACGGGTTTAACTCTCAATTGGGGTTTCATACTTTCCATACTACTCAATTTATGAATACCCGTTGTACTATGTTCTTAACTTCATTCAGTTCCTCGTTTGAATATTTTCCGAACCTGACCATTTTCATAGTCTTCTGCTCTACTAAACTTCACCTTACAGATTCAACTTGAGGAAGAGCAGCATCTCTCTGAGCAATTAGCCCAACGATCTTCTAGCGACGTTGGCGATCTGAACGCAGCCCGACAGCAAATGTTGATGTGGCGAGGACTTTTGACAATGTTTGAGGCAAAAATCTTCACCACTAAAGAAAAAATTCATGGCAAGTATGTTCGTTGCAAATAGCAAAAAATACTTTTTATGTGTTCGTCTTTCTTATAGTTTTTATGAAAAATTAATGTGGCGTGATTCTTTCTTCTCAACAGTTACTGAAATGCAGTACTATCCAAATTATTGTTTGATAACATATTCTGAGCCTTTAATGAGGTTTTTTATGGCACCTGTACAGTGTAAGCCACGTGTTTCGGCATTACAACTTCGTCAGTTGTACGATGCCTTTAGGTTTAGTCAGTTCCACGGGGAAATATTTCCTACATAGAGGAACCGACGCCGAAATATCCATACTCGCCGTTAAGTGATAAAATAATTGAACGAGCAGCGTTGTACACTCGATTCCTTGTGGCTGGTAGAACATGACTGTCATATCTTTCGTTTCGAGTGTTTTTGAGATTTCGCTCAAAACAGTATAATATGATGACATATACCCTTGATGAGGTATTTTATGGACTTATGCGGTGCAAGACGCGTTTTTCGTCATATTTGCTTTCCTAGTTGTATAGTGACTTTGAACTCAGTCAGTTCCGCGAAGAGAGGTCCCCTACATGGAACTAATTGGACCGAAAGGCATCGTGCAACTGACGAGGGTGTATTGCCGAAACACGTATCTTACGTTGTATAAGTCCATAAAAGGCCTTATGAAAAGTTAAAATTATGTTACCAGATTATACTGTTTTGGACATGATCTGAGAAACACCTGTAGCTTGAGGTATTAAGAATATTATTGTCTTTGAGTGCAATGACGGAGTAATGAGAGTTCTCACCGATATTGGCTTAATCAATACGGGATATCGCAATCTTTCCAGTCTTAGTGCGTGTCCTACTAAAATACAATAATCGAAAAAGCTTTCGAATCTCTCCGTTTGTTCTATTTAGTTTTGATTAACATCTTTTCAGTATGGAACACTCTCTCGGAGACTGACTGACACTGATCACTTGTTCGTCCTGCCTTGCAATTAATTTATCTCTTGACATAGCCACATTATTTGATCTGTACGAAGTGTCGACTTCCGTAGTTTTTATGTATGAATTCTATGGACATCCTGTATAACCCGGCTGATCAAAAATTAACCGTTTTGAAAAGGAATTTTATTTATGTTGTTGTAAATTTGTGCTAACGTCTATCATGTATAACGCTTTATCGTTTTGGCCTCCTAGTTTTTCGAATGAAATCTTTTCTGTAGTTCCTGCAATCAGTCGGTAGCTTATGCAGCATCGATCTTGCAGCGAATTTCTGATAAAAAGAGCTTTACTTTACACCTATAAGCTTGTAAAAGCTTTTTCCATTTGAGTTCATTGGCTTGTAGACTGATGATTAACCGATATTCCAATTTTGATTACTGAGTAATCATGACTTGTTAATCGAAATTTTTGAAATGGCCGAGTATAGAAAGTTCATTATGGGGCTTAGCAGGAACACTTCCAAAATCTGACAGCAACACGGTTGTAAGGTTGATCAAATATAGCATGCACTAAATAATATATTACATGCAATCTGTGCCCGTGAGCGATGCAGCAAAGTCTCTTCTAAAATTTGTTGTGTTCTCAGTCCGTTTTGTCCTATAGTTCTCAGAAAACATCTATTGTCCAAAATCGACATGTTTGTGACGACAGTAGATATATATCGTCCAATCTCTCACCCGCCAAATTCTGTGTCGCCACTAATGCATTTCACGTTTAGGGTCTAACTCTCTACTACCTCTATTCAGGTAATGTGTAAAAGTTCACAAAGTATGCTTGGAACTGACTTTTCAAGGGAAGATAGACTTCGACTGTCGGGTATTATGTTGGTCGCCATATCAAAACTCTTCCACTTTGCCACTTTGTGGTGTAATCGATCCCTTGAGAAAACTGCGTAAAATAAACGCAAAATGAAATGAAGTCAATAAAACTGAAATTGAAATTTATTGAGGAAGGCACCTAGGTGAGGTAATTGAGAACTGACTATGCGTTGAATTCATATTTTTCATCTTCAACTGAATAAGTGCACGTCAAGAAGTTAACTCAATTCAATAGGTGCATATTCTCGTAACAATATGAAATCGATTATCCGAGCAGGTGTGAGCTACTTCTAGTTTACAACCCTGGGCATTCAGGCCTAACTCTTTGAGAACGACAGGATTACTACGCTAACCGTGCCCGACGCCGCTCGCGGCGAGAGCAGTCCTTAGTGCCCAGTTGTTAGTGATGCCGGCTATCGGGAAGAAGGTTAGTGGTTTGATAATCTGCCGCGACATTTCACTTCTTGGTGTTGATTAGTAATGAGATCTCCTTATATACGTAGTTATCATAACAAAAAAAAAGCTCACTTGTTAATAATTCACTAATTTTTTGAAACGAAGCAGTTTTGCTTGGATTGCTGAATAGGCAATTCGATTGTGTTACGTTAATACGACATGTAACACGATATGGCGTGTTAGTGCTGGGGTGCATATTGATTTGGAAGCAAAACGAATTGCTGCAAAGCGTCGTAGGTGAGGATCGAACCAACAGCATTCTTCGCGGTGGCCTGCACCACCAAGCACTCGTCACAATGCACGGTGCGCGCGCTGAGCAAGGCTAGCACCATGACCCTGTCGTAACCAAAGCGTCAATGCTGCCATTTTCGTTTCTACCGCAATTGTTCTCACCACAAGGCGCCGTAGGAGTGTGATTACCTGATTTGCAGCGATGAAATAAGATTTTTTTTTCGTGTCACGTCTTAACATTGAATCTTTGTTTGATCTGTTTGAAATATCCTATATTACTGATTATCAAGTCAAATGAATTTGTTGAAGAGACTGTCACTATTTGAGCACAATCAGGCAAGAACTGTCCTGAAAAAAAGTGATTGAATTAGTTTATTGTTTGATGTTTGCACACTGTTAGCTATGAGATCATTCTATTGTGATGACTAAGTCGCATGAAATTAGTAATAAGTGCTGTGAATACTTGACCATATTGTTGCAGTGCCGAGAAAACGAAAGCAACGAAGCGCTATCCATGATAAAAGATCTCTATGGGAACATCGGGTGACCTTACTGGTGCAACAAAAAACACACACGGTGTTAATGATAATGATTCATGGAAGCGTGCAACATTCGACCGAAAGAAATGAAATTGGTTGTGAATTTTTGAAAACTTACGATCTGAGCTGTCAAGGCAACAGTATGTTTACTAGCGGAATCTATGGTGATAAACAATGGAAGACGAATATCGAGTTGAAATTGGAGTTGCTATACTAAGTCACACTTACACAGTCTTACTAATTCACTGTCCAGACTACCTTGATCACAAATATTATCGGCTTATAACCTCTCGAAAATTATGCAAAGCCATTTGAAAAATTAGTGTACCAGAGACAAGTTTTCCTCATATGTCACGAAATATCCGTGTCCAGGTGCTTCAGCGTCGACACCTCAACAATAATATGTCTTGGAGGATACACAACAATGCCTAATCTCGACTTATCCATATCTATAGTAGGTTTTCCATATGTAAGCGAGGCCATCATGAAGGAGACCAAATGAGAGCTGTTGTGACTGCAACGCAAGATTCTTAAATATGTGTAAATTGGACAAAACTTGAAACTGTGGAATTATATCATCGAAGAATTGATACAAATCCCAGACGGCTAACGTATAGAGTTGCAAATTGTAATAGGTCACTTCTGTTCATGAACGAGACGAAAATACTTCCACAAATGCGCAGGCAATGCAAATGCTTACGTCCAACCTGGGAGAAGAGTCCCTCTGCTCTTTGAGGTGCACTAGATAGGTGATACTGCTTCACAACTAACTGTCTTGTCTACCTCTCAATTTGATTGTTCTGCGTCGTTGGTTAAATACCTATTGAGGACTTTAGTCTGTGAAATTGGCGAAGTTGCTAATGTGAATTGTATGAAGTATTACAAGAATCATTTTGAAATTAGTGAGATACTTGCCAAACACTTCATAAAAGGCAGCAAACAAAATTATACTCACCATAAAGACAGAATATCTGAAATTCCTTTGTTTAACCGCTTCTAGCGGAAGGATAATGTTTTAGATATATACCCATTGATGTAGAGTGATGTGCAAAACTTTCGCGTCAGGCGGGACTCGAACCCGCAACTCACTCTTTCTGGAAGCGCATGCTCTATCCGTTGCCCTACTGACGCCCATTTTTCTAACACTCCAAATCTTTTATATGTGCGGTCGATGTAGTATGTGAATCATTTGGTAACTTTGTAGCATTTCCTTCTTGGTTTCTGAGGTAGAAAGGCGAAAGAAAAGCAGTACAAAAGCCTTGTGTGTGTTTTTATCAGCCTGGCGACAAACTCTTAATTGTGCGTGCTCGTACATGTGCCACTTCATCGTTCGCTTTATGCTCTGGACTCTATTGTATAATAGCTTGAGCGTTTGCTCTTCGACGTTTACCAAACTGCGTAATTAGGGCTACATGAGGGATGCTGTGTGTTCCATGGATGCTCAGGAATTGCACTGCCTTGCAACGGAGCCTTGAATATCGGTTATGAATTCTCAAAATCTACACATATACACGATGGATGTAGATTTTGGAATGGCACTCACTCGAATTTTGAGTGGTCGAGAAATGCGTAAAGGGAGGCTGCAAGCGAGTGAATATGCAGAGGGCTTCAAAGCACTCAGCGATCCAATGACCCGCGCAGACCTGCAAGAACACCTCAAACAGCTTAGCCACTTCGATCGTTTGACAATACGTATTGCGACAATAAGTTGAGAGACAGCACAGATTCAATATACAAGATATAACGCCGTAATATAGATGCCCAAAAATACATCGTTCCATAAGTTTTGGCATTAGAGCATCGAACATCAGATTTATCCAGCATGAGCAATTAAAATTGCATGATTTTGAAGTAGTTCAGTTGAGCATTTTCTGGTGAACATTTTGGTATACATTTTGCCTATATCTCCAGTAGAGTGGAGCTGTCGTGGGAAGAAAGTCGCTTGCTACTCATGCACGAATTGCGTGCAGAAGAAAATGCTGGTGAAGCGGCGCGCAAGATAAATGGAGCTTCCTGCGAACGGCCCAAGCGCGACTGATCCTTTAGACTATTCTCTCTGGCTTTGAACATCGCGAACTACTTCCTAACCGTTCTTTTTGCAACCGTATCATCGTCCCAAGCTCCACTAATCTTGCGCTCCACTTCACCAGTATTTTCGCCTACACGCTATTCGTGCATTAGTAACAGGCGAATTTGTTCCCAATACAGCTCAATCTTGAGACAAGTATGGGCAAGTTGTATACCAAAATGTGTGCAAGATATTACCCAATTGAACAATACCAAAATCGTGCAATTTTGAATACTTCTGATTGATAAAGCTGGTATTTGTTGCTTCAGTGCCAAAATGTATGAAACGATCTAATATTGTGCGTAGCATGAATAATGCCTTCTATACTTTATCAGTCTCTTAGGCATACTGTGTCTAGAAGTATCCAGTTGCCCCAGTTATTCAAAATAGGAGGCCTTCCGTGCCAAAGAAGGGAGCAGGGCATTTTATTAATCACTCAATGACTTTTCTAAGGAACTGTGACGTAGCTCATACTAGCTCTCTTTCATCTATGCAATTCATCTCTGTGTGTGTCTTTCATTGTCTATTGCACGATCAACGTACATGTGTTCTCCTAGTTTCACTTATTGAACCATCTTATTTCCTCCCACGCACTTCGTTGCGGAATCTTCTGTACATTCGGTTAGACGGCGACTAATTTCCAAGCCGATCTCATTCGCCAGACAGGAATTTCCCATAAAAATGTTAATAATCATTTGAAAGCTCAAATTTCTAGCTACAACTCCACGGTGCCGATTTTCAAAAACACCCCATTGTAACGCTGTAGCATATAGAAAATATTTTGCTTCACACTCACCTTTCGCCTTCATTTTTGCGGCGCGTTATAGCTAGCTGGAAGCCGAAATGCATATCAGTATGTAGAGAAACTTTAGTAGTATCTTAGTCAACTGTGTTATCAGGAGTACCTTCCAATTTCGTCTTCCCAGCCCCTGTAACGGCCTCTGCTTTGGGGGATATCTCGTAAATAAACTTACCAAAATGTAAAACTCGCTCTTATTTTTCCTGCTGAACCGTCTTTCCACAAAATAAGCACACGCGTAGAATCAGGAAGTATAAACACAAATCAAAAAGCCACAGGAGATCAAAGATCAGGGTAGCCTTATCAAAAAGTAGACGAATTTTTGAGTTTTCAGAGCTTGTACTATAAAATGAGTACTAGCAGTCTAAGGAAGGAGTTCTATTCAGCGAAATATAAGCGAGATAGTATAGTAGAACAAGTCATTGTGTGAGACATAATCTTATCTTAAATTCTACAGCGTAATGAAAAAGTGTTTTAGAAAACGACTACGTGGAGCTGTACCTAGAGATTCAAGCTTTTGAATGATTGCTAACACACCTATGAAAATTTTTGTCCAGCAAAAAAGATGGGCTTAAGAATTTGCTGCTGTTTACCCGAATTGTACCTTGAATCCACATTGTCTTGCAGGGCTTTCGATGCTAAAATAGCAGACATTCTATCGATATCACGTATTGGTCCACACAGTGGTGAATATTATTATAGTCTGGCACTCGTAAATTTTGCATGTTTTGAGCAATGAGTTTGAGAATATGTGATCTCCCAGTGAGCCTATGCTTAATAAAAATGGTGTGAGACTGGATAAAATGACTTTTAACTGCCTGGGTTCCACGTCGATTTTGTGAGTGGCGCGCAGGCGAGCGCAGCTCATTACGATGTCGATATGGTAGTTTTCCAGTGAAATTTGGATTCTTATCGCGGCTAAAGAGAGTTTAATTGTTAGTAACAGAGAAAATATGGCAAAAGAGTCTTCGATAAAACTATATTTGGTAGGAACATGCAAGAACAATCATGAAACAACGAACTGTTCTTCAACAGTGGTGCTGCACCTTGTAATGCGATGTGAGTTCAGCGATGATTTAAAGAATTTTTTTGAAATTGGTGGACCTCAGAAGCTGGAGCTTCTATGGAGTTTTGAAAGAGACTTTGCTCTATCGTCTTATGGACGGAAACTTTTTACAGATCCACTTATACTCTATATGAATATCGTTTCAACGCCGCAACCTAGAAATCATACCACTGCTTTTATCTAAACAACGTATTTTTGGAAGGAAACTTAGACGCTTACAAGAAAATGTCATTTTGATTTCTTCTGGAGCGATTTCATGCTTTCCTAATTCAAAACTCGTAATTAATATATGAGCCAACATGTCATGTTAAATGGGCTGAATTATAGAGCTCGATACAAGTGTTTCGACCTTGACGGTATCATCAGGTGATGTGTGAAGAAAAGCATTATCCCACAAGGCAACTTTAGACTTTTGGCAATGAAGATGTCTCAGTTATAGAAGGAATTTCACGATGCAAAAGTCAAAGGCGATGAAAAACAAATAACTGCTTGTCAAAAGTGATTCTATTACTGTGTGCTTTTCTGTTTAAAAAATGGTGTTTTGCATATCCTCTTCAGCCACACTCTCCATGCCTTTCATTCCTTCGGACAGTAATAATCATTTGCTGAAAACAAGGAATTATGTAAAATTTCTCAGTAAGACACTCTCGCATGGATGGCACCCCTGCAGCAGCTGTATTAGATAAGCTACCGATTGATTATAATAGGTCTGGGATGAAACTTTGTGCACCAAAATAGACTATCGGAAGAAAGTACAGGCCAAGTTATAAACCACAATGTTCGCGAGAGAATGCAAAATTGAAGGATACTAGGGTCATCCAATTTTATCGGAAAAAACAATTTAAAAAATCAAAACGACACGAACTTTGCAATTTTGCTGCATTATAACGCTCGACTTCCAGCTGCAAACGCCTATCGAAAATGCCAATATAGAGCTAAGGTAAGAGGTTTTAGGAGGTTTCTCCCTACCCGCTTTACTTCATTGACGTTGTACAGTCATACAATTATTTGAAATTGTCAAATTCGATTTGCAATTAGCGACTTAAAAAAAGGCGGTTCCCGGGTAAATAAGTCGTCATCTTCAGAGTTTCATAAAAGCCTAGATATAAAATATTCTGTATGTAAAAAATGGCGTTTTTCACGCACTTCCAAACAAAAAGAAATTTTCATGTCTCAATATATGCAAAGCACACGTTGAATACTCTACCCCTGAGACTTTCTTGCTTCCGGTTAATTGAGGGTCGCCTAAACTCAGTTTTCTTCAAGATTATAAGGTTGAGTCTGGCTCTTGAAAACACCTTCACTGAGTGGTGTAAGAGCTAAAACAATATCACGTTTTGCACTTTTAGATTTTAAGTAGGCTTTAAGCGGGTTTGTTTGGCAGTGCAATGAAGCCTATGGGGCAGTAGAATAAAATCTTGTTTGAAACAATGTAACAATTACATTTCGAAACTGCTATGAGAGAGAGAAGAATTTTTTCCAAAAAAATGTCAAAGATCGTACACTTTTAACGCGGCTTTGAGGTAGCCACGCGCAGAGCGATTCAAGAAGCGCGATAATATGCGCCAAGTGTAAAACTCAAGTTTGTTTCCGTTGTTACACCACATAGAGGAAGCCTTTTTAGAAACCAGGCGAACATTGAGATCCCCGAGATCTGAACTACCAAACGACTACTGAAGTCCAGGAAAAGCAGGAAAGACCTTGTTCTCAAAAGGTTGAAACATGAGTTAAGATGAAGGATCTATACTATTCTTATTTCTAATGAGTGAGCACCAGAATCAATGAAAATGTTTTCAAAATTTTCCTCTATCTACTAGTCATTGTTGAGACTTGAAGTGGGTGGATAACTGCATTCACCTCCACAAACTCATCGATTTCTAGCCGAGCATGAGCATATCCCTTACGAATTGCCAACTTGGCAAAGTTCTTTCTCACTACTATGGTCTATTCAAACCGATAGACGATTGCAAGTGGAGGTCTGTTTGCTTGAAATTGAAATTCAGATTATATCCATTAATACATGAAGGATATATGACTCAGTGTAGCAATAAATTAGTAAGGATACAAGCAAAAGCCAACCATAAGGACCAGAGGTATCGTCAAAAACAGCGAAATATACAGGCGGCAATGTCTGAGACAAGGAGTGGTGCCGTAGTTTACGGTGAAAAAGCGGCATCTTGTACGACTCTGCAGCAACG